TCTTCAAAGTTTAAGGATTAAATTGGCACTGAATAAAATTTTAGGGATTATTTTGGTTTCAAAATTAAAGTTTAGGGACAATTTTAGTACTTTTAAAGTTTTAGCATAATTTTAACATAAATTAGAAAGTTGAGGGACTAATATGGTTCTTTAACTAAAAAATTTAGGTCCCTCAACTTTAAAGTTTACATAATTTTCATCCCTCAACTTTTTTATATACTTTTTTAATCCCTCAACCTATTTTTTTAGTCTTTTCGTCAGTTAATCTGTTAAATTTGTCTAAATATACACATTTTTTGTCCCTTAAATTTATGTTAAGGGAAAAAAAAAACAAACATATCAAGATAAACTGAATGGATTAATTGACCAAAAAAAAGCTAAAAAAATACATTTTTTTATAGTTAAGAGATAAAAAATATACACAAAAACGGTAAGGCATGAAAATTATGTAAAGCTTTCAATGCATCAAAATTCACATTTAACCTAAAATTTACTCAAAACAACAAATCTGGCAATGCTAATATCAAATACTTAATACTAAAATTTCGTCATTAATTGTTGAAATTTCATTAGGAAATTATCAAAAAATTATTCATAACTATCCATAAAATTTAGCTAAAACAAAAAATCTAACAATATTAACTAATATCCAATGAACTAATGACAATATTTAATAGTTTAAATTTCAGAAAAAAATAAAACATACATAAAATATATAAAAAATAGTAACGTTACCTAAGTTTCACTTACCACTACTTGATCCACCCATTGTAAGAAGAAAAATGTTAAAGTGATTCGAAGGAAAGAATGGAGGAAAGGAGAGCAAGAACTACTTGCTGCCAGAGGAGGAAGACGAAAATGAAAGGAGGAAGACAAAAATGAAAAGGGAAGGGGGGCTCGGCCAGTAAAAGGTGACCCTTACTGACGAGATTCACATTGCTACCATTTAAAGCTAATCATCTTTGCTTTGCTTCAAGATGCACGTTGACCAGGGTCATCACCGAGAAAATTCTGGTTGGCAATGGAGCACTTACTGACAGAAATCTTGTCGGTAAGCTAGACAAAAAGTTGCAAAACCTAGCACCAACAGTCAGATTCATGGGGTGGGTTGGGTATTGTGCAATTATCGACATGGTTTTTGTCGGTAAATTCACTGAGGAAAATACTGTTGCAGATAACATAGCTTACAGGTGTCCTCTTCATCAGTAATTGGGGTATTGGTCCGCAAGCCATCGGACTGAATATTGCAGAATATTATCAACAAGGAACACGTGTGTATTGTATAAATTTATTGACAAAGATTTTGTCTGAACTTTAAATAATATAAATTACTCCTGTTTTAACTGTTTCTATCTTTGTAGACATGTTTCTCGTCGATAATATGTTGGTTTACAGACAAAAATTCTTAAGTTAGTGATTGTGGGTCGGTGAAGTTGGGTTTTCTAGTAGTGTACACCCTTCAGAGAGGGTTACTAAATGAACCCCCACTAATAATGTAATTTATTGGAAGTGATAAATTTAACTCTCTTCGTTCAACTCCAATAGATCTAATTTTTTATAATAAAATAAAATATAATAATTAATTGATAAAATTTTATATTTATCCCTAATTAATTATTATTTAGATAAGCTTTTTGATTTAATACTTCTATAATTAGCAATTATCATTTTAAAATAAAGGTAAAATAAGAATAAAAACATTAAATAAATTTCTAAAAAGGAAAAATAAATAACTAAATTTGAATGTCTTAAATTAAAAAAATAGGGCTAGTAAAGTTGAATAGAGAGAGTATTTTTTTTTTTTTCTAACCCCAATGGGGTGGTTCAATGGTTAAAAACTTGAAATTCCAAATTGGAGATCTCAAGTTCAAATCTTGAGTCAAGTGAGAAGGGATTTAGGGAAATATGAGGGCTACCCCCTCTTATATAGTCCATTCAAATATATATATATATATATAAAGAGAGAGAGAGAGTATTTTTTTAATGAGTTCACTTTTTAAACCCTCTAATTTCTCATTTATTATTGTCTATATTTTCCGAGCTCAACTAAAAATTACTAATAAAGGTCATATTTGTTGTAGTGTTAGACCACTATTAATAGTGTCTACTTTAACCCGCCATTCAGTCTCATCCTTATAAAATTAGTCAATAAAACTTAATGAGTGTTAACCTATACTTTTTTACTAATTAGATAGATGGTTTTTCTTTTTTAATTTTTGAAAGGCCTTTTGAAATTAGAGGAAAATCTTCCTCTTTTTGGATTAGGTGATGGACCTGTATGTTGTATATGCACCAATAATTTGTATCTTATTGGTGAATTACACTAAATATTTGAATACTATTAGGTACTACTAAGGATTTATTTGGTATAATGGTTAAAATTTGATGAAGAGCAATGCCAGGGGCACTCGCCTCTTGCATTCTCCAGTTAACACTTCCCCTTTCATTGGGCCACATAAGCTTGTTTCAAGCTTAGAGGTGCAACCTCTTACCAACCAAAATAACGTGGCCCAAAAAAAGTGAAAGTGTTGGTCGGAGAGTGCAGAAAGTGAATGCCCCATGCACTCCTCTTTGATGAATAGCAAATAGTGAGTAGTAGATAGTAAATAGCTAGTAGAAAACAGATAGTAAATAGCAAATAGCAAGTAACAGATAATAGATAGTGATAGCAAGTAACGAGTGACGGTTAGTTGATAGTAAGTGGCAAATAGTGGAAAGTTTGTAATGAATAGTAGATAGTAGATTCAATTAATATAACTGTTTGGTTATATAATAATTAACAGTTATTGTTCAATGTTCAATGATTAACAAGAACATGTTTAAAAACAATTAAATATATTTTTTCTATTTATATTTTTGTAATATTAAAATTATTAATTTTATAAAAATAATAAGAAGAAAATAACTAAATGAAATAAATTACAATGGTTTAATCACATACTAATTTCTATTTTTAACAAAGAAAAAA